TGACAAGCCATCTTTATGTATGTGTACAGAATTATGATCAGGCTTATGAATGTTATTTCCACACCCTTTTGAAAGTTCAGGAGCCACTGACAGTGAACTTGAAGGCTCTTGGTCGAAGATCAAATATTGTGTCTTGTGAATTTTGTTTTGTGGTCGATTTTGTACTCAGTGGTGAAATTGAAAGCCATTATGTAGTCTATATTGAAGAAATAACTGAGGCTTTGGATCAGTTTTTCTTACACTATCCAACATGGGACGCACACCTGTTTCTGATGGGTTATTTTGAGGTGTTTTTGTTGAGCCTGGATCCAATGAGCTGGGCCTGTAGAGTATCTGTTCTTTATTTTTACTGTCATTTACACAGTGAAATACCAATGATGAAATATTGACTTCTGTATAAAATACCTAACAAATCCCAACTGACTATTTGGTATTAAGAGATTATCTATGATTTAAAAGTTAGAGATAGGCCAATGTTATTATACTGTAAAAAAAGATATGAACTAGACCAATCAGACGTGTGGAGGCCTGAAGAATCTCCCAGAAATGATGTGTCTCTCGCAAATTGAAACAGAAATAAATGCAATTGAAATGTTCTACTTTTCATTTAAAAGAAACCTTGTATGTTTGCTTTGGACAGAAGAAATAATTGGTGTTACCTTCAAATGTGAATTTGTAATTTGTCCATGTTCCATATAGGCCTACCCTCCTTCGTCCGATTTTGCCCAAATGGCTAACTTTGTTATTCTTATCCTCTATATTATATTTACTCTTGAATGTTGAGGCTATTATATTCGTTGAGTTTTCATTATTGACTTGATATAAATATTGCAGCTGGTTCTGTGATAATATTTTAAACTGGAAAATGAACTTTCTGATAATTACTGTCGCATTGCTAAGTTGTTCATACAGGAAACTACCGCCGCCGGACCAGATAGCTAGCTAACATGGCTACAGTTCATGGAAATACAGGACTATGAACCAATCTAAACACAATTGCTAGCTAACAGCTGTTTAACATTTCAGGACCAAGCTAGCTATAGCTGCAGTAGATGTTCAACATTGTTAGCTAACAGCTAACTAGCGTATGTAGTAGAGAGGGTTGGCTAGCAGCAGCACTTTTTCTCTTCATACACAGTTACTTAGCTGTGCAGTTTCCACATGAGATTAAAAGAAATGCACAAACTGTATTTCACACACTATAATTCAAATGATATGAAGTAAGAAGAATTTGTGTGGACATTAGTTCACGAACACTGGTGACCGTGTGGTGCTAGAGTCCAAATGACTCCTTACATTTATCAGCCTTTTGTTTAAACTCTCTTCTTTCCCAGCAAGTTTGTGTGAATTCAATCACAGATCCTTTGCTTTTTTAGGCAATAATGTAAATGTTTTAGTACCATTGGTTGACCATTGTTATGCAATCATATAACCATGAGAGATTCGATCAGATGGGTTTTAATTTGGCTAATGTATGAATTCAGTCGTGTAGAAATTGATACTTGGAAGTTCAAAGACAGGTTACAATCCTTATACGGTTACGTTTTAGCTCAGTACAAACGTTGTATTTTTGTATTTTGAAGGCATTTTTTTGGTATAATCTTTTTATGGTTTTACCAAAAATATATTACTTTCATGTTCCATTCAACATCATGCATTATCTGCATCGTTCTTCATCCTTCTTTAAAAAACAACTTTTCTGCTAAGCTATCCAGAGTCAGTGTCACACCTAATCTATTTGTCACCTAAAGTTACCGTTTGGAGACACAATGAGAACATTTGAGTGGGTTATTGGAAAACCGACTTCTCTGTCTTCTCCTGTGCTGAACATTTGAGCCAAGCTGCACTAATGATCTAGCTCGGTGACTCCCGCCTACTCCTTCCACTGGTTGATGGTGTTTCAGGTCCGCTGTGACTCACATCTCCAACTCTCCCACTGACTCTCTTGCATTCCCTGTTTCTCACGCTAACATCTCTCATCATTCTTTAGCTTTTCCTTTTCTTCTTCTCACATGTCAGATCTAAATCCACACCAAATATTAGTCACACCAGATTAAGAAAAGCTGTAGAGACATTTAAGTATTGGAGGGATAAAGGATGTGTTTTACTTCTAATTAATTAGAAAAATAATGGGTTATTTTTGCTATCAACAAATAACATTATTTTGCGCTGCACTGACTGTGTACAAGCTGAGCAGTTTAGAGAAAGTGTGGGAGGGTGTGATGTTGATGATGGCAACAGGTGTTCAGTTAGCAGGAATTCCTTCCCCAGGGGAGAAAGGACAGAGTTAGAGGAAGTAGATGGTGGTTTGAGTCAGGTGTCAGCTAACAGAAAGATATGGATGTTGCTTTTTAGATACATGTTTTGCTGTTGCCTACACAACTTGAAAAACGTGTTCAAAGCAATTCATCACCTCTGCCGAACCATTTGTGTTTTAGGGTTGGTTGTTTGCTTGTCTGCAGGATTATGGAAAAAGTACTTACCAGATTGTCATGAAACTTGGTGGAAGACAGTAGCATTGGGCGAAGAAGAACCCATTAAAGGTTGGAGCAGATCCAAATCCCGTGGAGGATAAACACATTTCTTTTTTTGTTTTCCTTGCTACTTGTGAATTGACAATGGCAAAGGTCAAGGCCAACCTGCTTAGGCCAATGTATTCTAAAATGTAATACTTCCTTTTCCAGTGCTACACCTTTCCACTAAATATCAGGAAGATTGGGCCAGCAATTCCTGCTTACAAAAAAAATATTCCTACCTGAAAACATGAGCTGTTTTGCGGAGGTATAACGGTGCCACTGTTACGAGGAGCCAAAATGTGGATTTAGAATTTGAAGTGATCGTTGGTTATGATGAGTTGAAAGAGGAATAGGAAGTAAGGATATGAAGGAGAGAGACTTATTATACACTTTTTAGGTGTGGATTTCTGCCTTCTTTGTTTCATCCATTGGCCAAATTGCTCTTTCTGATAGAACCAGTAGGTCCATGGTTATATATGGTAATATATTATAAGGATGGTGGACAAACTCAGTAACGATTTAAAATAGAAACAGCTTGCAATGTGTCGTTTTATACGTCAATTGACACACAGGACAGCTGTGTTTCTTATAAGTTGTAAAGAAATCAAATATATTAAATACATATATATTTAAGAATATACATTCCCCTTAACTATTTCATTTACTTTCCGTTCAAAATGTTTTTTTGTTTTTTGCACTGGACCCATGTCTGGTGCATTATACACTGTAACTCCTGCTTTGAAATCAATCTTGTGTTTCTATGTAAAGAGGCAAAAGACAGACAACAATAAATATATTAAATGGTGTGTCGTCGTCAATTACTTTTCTGTATATCTACAACTTACTTAGAAACCTTTATTTCACTTGACAAGTTTGTTCACCTCAACACAGGACCAATTGGACGTCGCCCTGTACGCAGCACAGACATTTCAGAATAAGAGTCTTAACCATGTCAAAAAAAAATCCCAGGTCCCCGGAAATGTCTCGATTTTCAAAATAACAGCTGTAAAATGGTAACAGGTGGCAGGATTGTGGTGTGCTGAAAACATTCAAAATGAAGTTGAGTTTCTTTCTGCTTTGTTAACCTTTTGTCTTCCCTTTTTAATTATTTTACTTTTCAATCATTTACATATGTCCAGGGTTGAGCAACTTCTTTTCAGGAAAAGCATTCTCTAGTTGTGTCTGCTATTTTGTCATGTGTTCTTGAGGCATGCTCGAGTGTGTAAATGGATGCAACTTAGCAACTAAATTGGTCTCTGCCTTACTTAGGGTTAGGTCAAGCTCCAGTTCAGGCTTGGGTTAAGGTCAGGGTTAGGCATGCATCAGTTAAGAGAAGGTCGACGCACTGAAGGAAATGGTTGCCAAACCCTAGAGAATACTGAATTTGCTATGGACATTGTTACCTTTCACCACTACCTCATGGTTCTGTCTGTGTGCTCCTCTCTGTTTAAGATTCACTCTCTTTCAGGCTCTGTGTCTCTCTTCCTCTCTCTCATTTACAGAGGTCTCATCTCATGTGTCCACTGAAGACTCACTGGCACCAGGCGCAGGTTTCCTGGCTCCTGGCTCACACTCTTGGATGAAGTATGTTCCACGAGCCTATGGGTGCCACACATCAGCCACACTTTTATGTTTATGAAATGGTCTAAAACATGTTTTTTGTAATCCCTTCAAGAATGAAAAGTCTAACAGATGATCTCTTTGTCTTTTACACTTCCCCCTGGTTGATTAAGATTGATATTAGCTAACATGTGAACAAACATGCGCTTCAACTGAAGAAAGGGCACTATAATTGGTGCCAATGGTATGAAATCTAAACTTCCTGTCTTCTAAATGGGCACAGTGTAATGTATTTACATTTTATTTAGCATGACTTGGTACCTAGATATGCTTATTACACAACTAAAGTATACCTGTATAGGATTACCAATATAAGTAAACTAGGGCTCTTGCTAATGTAAATTGATATTAGCTTAACCTGTTGATACTGTTTGATTATCCTTAACACTCTCTTGCTAGGGCTCAAGAGTGTGTTGCTAAAAAGTCAAAACAGACCAATGGTCTTGAAAAAAGTGATTTTTCTCCTGATTTATCCAAAAGCATGAATCTTAATATATGTTTACTTTCACTTCTCTAATCAGAGTTAATAGTCTCAGACCTTCTATAGTCTCCTAAAGAGGCTTAGCTGTGGTGAACCCATACAGAAACTGAAAATTGAGTTTCGTTGCTGAATCTCTTTTGTAAAACGCCCAGAGGTAAACCTTTTAGATTTCAACCTGTTGCCTTTGGTTTGGAGTTCCGCCCTGCGATGTGTTTGTCAGTGTTGACGAACACTATACTCCGCTCTAAATTTGCCCCTTTAGTACTTCTCCGACTGAACTCACCCCCCAACCCCCCCAGCCTCCGATATCCCCCCTAACCCCATTCCACCACCACAACCCCCCTCAACACACACACATGTCCCCATCTGTGTGTAAATGTGTGTGTCAGCTCGCCCAGAGTCAGGAGCGACAGGCCATGACTGGCAGCACCACAGTCACATAGCAAGTTAGCATTGGGATCATTAACACTTCTGCTGGATCAATACATTTGTTGTTGTTTTCTAGTTGCTGGGAAAAGACCAAGCAGGTAAGGAGAATCATATTTTGGTTGACCTTTTCTACAGGTGGCAAATGCAGTGAGTTAAAGAGGCATTTGGGCCTTTTTTGCTTCGTATCAACACTAGAATTGCAATATTTGATACAATCACACTGAGATTTATTCACTCTAGGCTGAAGACACCTGTCTAAATCATGACAAATATTTCGTATTTCTTACATAAATCTTCAAAGAAACTACACATTTGAGCAAGCACGAAAATGCACCAATGGCACGTCCTGTGTCATGATTCAGACATAGCTCGTGATAGAAACTGCTCTGGTAAACAAATAATCAAATGTTGTAATTCACTTGGTCGAGGGCCACAAGGTCCCTCATACTGCATGTTATTGATACTGGTGAATGAGTCTGCAGTCAGAAAGAAGAGGACAGCTGGAATGATCAGTCTGGAGCTATTTGTATATGCTGTGTCATGTGTCCTTTTACCGGAATAAAATTGGAGTGGAAGACATTTTCAGAAATTCGATATATGTAAAGAAGGAAATTTGCAAATACGAAAATTAAAATAACAGATTTTCTGTCCACTAGATGGTGAGGTAGAGTTTTTCTAATGAGGTCAGCAGTATTTGGTTGAAGGTGGTCTAAACAAAGATTGGGACACTGGAAAAGAAAATCACAAATGCACTCAAAATCATGATGACTGATTTAGCAGGTAAAAAAAGTTAGTAAATATGGAGCTGATTAGTATTAATTTGTATACTGTTGGAAATATGTCATCCATCTTATTTCTATGTCTATCCATCTAGCCATTTAGCTTTTCTTTCAGTCATTGTGCTATGTCAATCCGTTACATCCTCTTTGAGTTATTAAAGGATAGAAGTGCCCCTTAGTATGTCATCTAAGTTATAGCCAGCAGGGTGAGGCAATACAATACCTACTGAGTGGGTGGGGGTGGTGGGGGGGATTCACCATGCAAGCCTGGCATGCCTGTATGACGCAGAGTTCAGTCACTGACCCCAGTCACTGACCCGTGATTGGCTGACGGAGAGATCAGGTGTTTAGGTCTAGGCTAAATCGGTCCAAGCAGACAAGTTGAGGAGTTAGGAGAATTGGAGAGATGGAGGTGGAGGGGAAAGAGCGTTTCAGAATGATTCAACTGAGGAAATGTAAAAATACGCTTACATCAAGTAAGAGGGATTCCTCTCCTCTGCATAAAAGTCTCTTTATTTACCTTAGAAATACAATTTAGAACCAAAATGTAAACTGCAGCAATATGTGAATCTGAAATCAAAAGTGGGGCCTGTAAAGAAAGGCTGTCGCCATCTTGGGTTTTGGAAACAGAAGTGACACAAGAGGGTGAAGTTTAATACACCCAAACACTGACTGAAACGGTAATTTATTGTATATTTTTCTCTAAGTGAGACCATAGTTCACATTGTGAATACAGCAACACATAAATTCATATCATGCTGTGTTGTAGAAGCCTTTAACTAGTGATTGAGTCCATAAACTCATTAGAAAAATGTTTAATAAATCAATCATTCAAGTGAGACAATCGGCCATCTTGTTGCTACCAGTAGAGTGGCCCCTTGTGGGATATTACAGACAATGCAGGTTTGAAGCTGTTCTGCATGGGCTTCGACCTGGAGGTTTCCGGTTGGTATGAAGAACATCTATCTAAAGACCAGATTAAAGTTACCAAGGTATCGCTGAAGGGAAAGAAATGTTAGTCTGTGCATCACTTTGGTCCAGACTCCAGGTGGAACAAATAAAACGTAATCTCCTCTAAAGTAACAGACAGAGAATCAGCACTTGTGAAACAGGGCTGAAACAGAGGGGTTTATGGGATACTACAATGATCTGTTTGGTATTTTGAGCCAAACTCTTCAGAGCCATGTTTTGTATATAACTGAGAACTATATTATATTGCAACACAGACCCCGGCCACACGAGGACGAAAACGGCTAAACGCATAGGATTAACGCATCCGGATAGTGTCTGCCCACACGAGACCGCTCCGTTTAGCTCCAACCGCTGGAGAAGCTGCAGTACATATGCAGGAGCCTGTACGTGGCGCTGTAACTTCCTCCACAAAAGCAGCGAAGAAGCATGGTTGTCATGGTTGCCCTTCTGTTTATTCTCCGCGGTGGGGGCCGAGGGAACCGGGCAGAGTTTTTTGCCAGTCAACGTGTATTAAAGTTTAAATCTTCCGACTAAATTATAAAAGTGCCGGTCAAAGGTCTTCTTTGTTATTTATTGAGCTTTAAAACAAATGAATAACGAATCTATATATTATAATAATAAAATACACGGAGCCTCTCTTTTTCCTCCCTCTCTTCGGACAGCGCGCCAGTGTCTGTTTCATGCAGCAGCTGATCCAGTAATGAGTGACTCGGCCGACAGTAAAAATAAACATATTTATATCTAGTTTAGGTAGTTTGAGAGGTGTCTCCGTCCTGTCAGATTAGACTTCACTCGCGTTTATGTCCATATTGAGAGAAAGATAAATAATCTGAATTCAGTGTGCAGTTTACTTTGAGGCGGGGGTGAGCAGCAGAGGTGGGGAGAGGTGGGGCTATTGCCTCATCATTATCAGAAAATGATCGTATAGGGCGTACACACGGAGCCGTTGGACCCCCCGGAGCGTTGCATATGCCGTTCTATCCACCTTGGGACCCGTTATCGTTTCCTCAGTCGCTTAGTGCCGTATTCGGTCGTCCTCGTATGGCCGAATGGTCTATATGACACTAAACAGTAACGCAAACGGCCGTTTTCGTCCTCGTGTGGCCGGGGCAACAGTCTCACTCCCTGATAGTCCAATAGCAACGCTTGGTCAGGGTCCTTTGGCGTGCAGTTGTGACGCGCCGAGTCTCCTTCAGGTTTTTCGAGCAAAGCGCATGGTGTAGTCCCAAACGATAGCTGAGGATTCTGGGTAGTGTAGTGTCTTCTGCCATCCTAAACTCTGAAAAAATATTTGTTTCTCCAAATCGAAGGGGAAAAACACAAAAGCATTGTACACAATTTAAACCAATCAATGTTGTGTAATTAACAAGGATAATCTGGTGTTTTTAGTCGATGAGTAGTGCAGATATCACTGTAAAATCAATCGACTGTAAGGAGAATACTTACTTCCGGGTGTAAAATCCTCCGTTATCCAATGGGAATGGACGCTCACATTGCCTTTAACTGCCGCCGACATGGACCGATGCGGTGCTTCCCTGAGCGCCAAATACCGCCGCCGATGGGAATACATTGCAATCAGTTGAAAGCTCTTTGCGTCCGTTTATGAAGCCGAAGGAGACTCGGCTCGTCACAACTGCACGCCAAAGGACCCTGACCAAGCGTTGCTATTGGACTATCAGGGAGTGAGAGTGTGTTGTATCTTGATGAAAAAGAATATAATAGGGGACCTTTAAAGGAGGGTAGAGCTTGCTATTTATGTCATTATTAGGTAATGAAGTGCTTACATTAAAAACGTATCAGGCAGTTAAATGTTTAATGTTACTAAAATTACACATTTTATTTTCATTTCAAATAAACTCTTCCCAATTATTCCAATTTTGTACAACCCAGAAATTCTTTATACACAGTGCATAGGTCTGCTGAACATGCGGAAACGTAAAATGTGTCAAAGGGCAATACATAAAGGAGTAATAAAGTAAAACAACAGAAGAATATGTATTAGATATTTACATGCATAAGGCTGCTGTCACTGGAAAACAGTTTCACATTGTGCATGTATTTGTTCACTGGATAAAAGCTTCCTGCAGTTTCTGATTTTATTGTTCCATGGATTTATTCTGTTGATCAAAGAAGAGTGCACAGATGTATGGAATAAATGCTCACTGCTATATTTCCACACTAGCTCTGCTGCTAGAATATAGTGCAGTGCTGCTGCTGCTGCTGCTGCTGCTGCTGCTGGCTAAACCTGTCCTGAGGACCCACGGTGCTGTATGCAGCTGGAATTACACAGTGGGTGGTTTGTTTAAATGTAACAAGGTGGATTGTGGGTAGGCGGGTAGATTGTGGGTCCTACTGTTTCCCACCTAAAGCTTGACTTCATCGGCCATAATCTATGTCAGAAACTGTCAGTAGAATTCAGGACATTTTAGGCATTAGAAAAGACTCAAGTAAAGAACCTCCAAATTGTACTGTATGCATAACAAGCTATATGTATGGATTGATTACACAAACCAAAATAATTCAGGCAAGATGAGATTTATATGGCAACGGCTGACTCATGAATCATCTTGCAGTATTTTCCTCAATCTCTCCTCCAATCCTCCATCAACACTGTCAGATCCTGAACAATATATTGTGTACAGTAGAAACTGAATGATGATGCTCTCCATTGTGACTCATCCTCAACTTCCCTACTGAGAGCAGGTGGATCTGCCTTCAGAAACAGTCAACTGAGAAGTGCAGGGGTGATGAACATTGTTGTTAAAAATATCCGCCCTTATTCTTTAGTGAGATATAAAGTTATGCGCCTTAGATCAAAAAAGAGTCTACTGCAATAGCACAACATCTGCTCATTCACGCAAGCTGGATTTGTTTTGCACCATCACAGGCACAACATTTTAGAATGTAAACTGAAGTCAAAAGGATCCATTCAAATCCTGGAATTTCACCTATGCACTTCTTGATTTTTTAACAGTATCGTATTTCTCTTCAAAAACAAGCTAAATATACTCTCTATTTACGAGCACGGGAAAATCAAAACTATTTAAGAAATAAACATTGATGCTTTGACTCCGAAACAGAACATGGAGTAGTGGTACACTTCAGCCTCTTGTGGTCAGAATAAGTATTACAACAACACACTTTGGATCATGATAAAATCCATTTTTACCTGTTCCTAAATCATTAACATGAGAGAAAACACTTTAGACCGGACTTATAAATGACTCCACCAGAATTATTTTCTCACTGCCTTTCAGGGCTTCTGTTTGACATTCATAGAGCATAAAGGTCCTGCTCATTTGAAACCAGAGGCATGTACTATGAATCCAGTTCAACATACCCTGGAT